AGAGAAGTGTCCCGAGAGGGGTCTGCCCCTGCAGGAGAACCATGAGGGTCTGCACTTGGACTGGGGAGGGATGGCCTGGAGCCAAAGAAGACACAGATGAGGAGGGCGTGGCCAGTCAGGGGTGCTGAGGCCTGAGACTTCACTGTGAGCCACATCAGGCACTCCAGGTCCCAGCTGTGGGGGGAGGTGGTCTGCACAATTTCCAAATCAAATGAACTGGAGCTGATTTTGTTTCCAGGTAACTGGAGGCATCCAGGGCTTCTGGAAAACCAGGGCTGGCCGCGTCTGCCACCGCCAGGCCAGCCGTTCCGTTCCCTGTTCCTGGGTCGCCCTCGAGTGGCGAGCTGCGGAACTGCTCTCCTGAGATCAACCTCTTTGCTTAGGGATCCGCACGGGTTGGAGACTCAGCCTTCCGCTGACGAACAGAGAGGATCAGGCCTGTTAACGCTGCCCCACACCCCAGCTAGTGCCTGACAGGCCCAGGGAGGCTGGAAACCTTTGGCCCTCAGCTCTTGTTCGCTGGGGCTCCAGGGAGCATCCCCAGGACCAAATGATTCCAGGACTTGGAGTACCTCTAGGCAGCCACTCTCAGTCAGTTCACAGATAAGGAAACTGAGGTCCAGAGAGTCAGGTCTCACAAGAGTCAGGATCAGAAGGCAGCACTCCTGACTCCAGCCTGTGACCTTCCCACACTATCTCAACCCTACACCTTTCTTCTTCCTTTGATGGCTTTCCTAAACCCCATCTAGGTGAGCTACGGAGCTGGTCTTCTGCCACCAGGGAAACGTGATTATTTTGCTGAGCTCAGAGTCGCTGACAAGAGCGAAAGGGATGTGTCAGGGACAAGTTACACCAAGCAACACCAAGAGAAAGCCCAGTTGGGTCCTTCTACATCTTCCTGGGGGGACCAAATGGAGGTGGACAGGAGAGGCAGGTGCTGAGCTGGTAAATTGAGTCATTTCGTCCTTACAACAACCAACTGAAGCACAGTTACTATCCCAATTTTAGAGGCAGGACACTAAGACACAGGGAAGATGGTTATCTTGCCCAAGGTCACTGGCTAAGAAATGTAGAATCAGGATTTGAATGGAGGCTGTTGGGCCCCAGCTCTGTGGTCCTAACCTTTTATACAGCCCTGTCTTGGACACCTGAGGGATTTTATAAAACACCTACATATAGACACACAGTGTATGGGCAGAGGCTGGAATTTCAGACACCTGCCTTATTTCCAGGACACAACTTTCCTAAGGCTGGACCATTCCTTGGCTGATGTGGCATCTTTCTGAGAGTCTGGGATATTTTGCTAGAGCTTTGCTTAGCTTTGCCATAGGCTTTGGTGGTTGTCATCTTCCATAAGAAGACCTGGGTTCAATCCCAGCCAAAGCACCTCATGCACGGCCACCACTTGTCTGTCAGTGCAGGCTTGTGTGCTGCTGTGATGCTGAACAGGTTTCAGCGGTGCCTCCAGATTAAGACAGACTAGGAAGAAAGGCCTGGCACTCTACTTCAGAAAATCAGTCAGGGACAACCCTATGGCTCACAATGGTCTGATCCGTAACCCATCATAGGGATGGCGCAGGACCAGGCAGCATTTCATTCCATTGTGCATGGGGTCGCTGTGAGTCAGAGGCTGACTGGACAGTAGCTAATAAGCCATAAAGGAAGGGGGGCAGGGAAGCTGAGTCTCACAGTAAAAGGCTGTGGCCCTGAGGCCCACATTATAGGCGAGTACACAAAGCCGTGCTCAGGCAGTCAGTGAGCGGGAGGGAACAGAACCTGGATTCATGGTCTCTCTGGCACAGCACTCAGCAGGAGGACACAGAAGGAAGCACAGGGGGTCATATGCTCTAATGATCAGAGAGTGATAGCCAACGTTCATTCACTACTTACCATGAGCTGAAGATGTCACCAAGCACTCACTAAACCTCACACCGAGATAGATACTGTTGTCATCCCCATTTTACAGATAAGGAAACTGAGTCACCGGGGTGAAGAAACTAGCTTCAGCTCACAGTACGACTAGGACTGACATCCAGGGGTGATCCCCCTCCACCACTGGGCTGCACTGCCCCTTCAAAAGGGGCCAAGAAGAGACTGTGAAGCAGAGACTGGCTCATTGAAGCCAATCACTTCTAAGGACACAGGTCACCCAGTCCCAGCTCAGGCATCAGCCCCTGGAGCCCTTACTGCCTGGGTCTGGAATAGTCACAGGCAATGGGCAGCATCTCTGCCCTGCTGCACCTGAAGACCCAGTTTGCAAGGCCTGCATTAAGCCAGTAGTCATCACATACACTCGGATGTGTTTCAGAGCAGAACTGTGCTCTGTAGGGTTTTCAGTGGCTGATTTTTCAGAAGTAGATCACCAGGCATTTCTTCTGAGGTGCCTCTGGGTGGGCTTGAACCTGTAACCTTTTGGTTAGCAGCCAAGCATGTTAATTGTTGGTGTCACCCAAGGACTCCTTAGCACCTATTGTCTTTGTGTAGGTGCTGTCAAGTTGATTCTGACTCATAGCAACTCTACAGAGTAGAACAGTCCCACAGAGTTTCCTAGGCTGTGAACTTCATGGGAGCAGATTGACAGGTTTTTTCTCCCTTGCAGCCACTGGTGGGCTCAAACTGATAATCTTTTGTTTACCAACCAAGCATTTAACTATGGCATCACCAGGGCTCCTTTTTTTTTTTTTTAAACAAAAACCAAACTCACTGCCATCAAGTCAATTCTGACTCATAGTGACCCCTTTTGGGTTTCGGAGATGGTAAATCTTTACAGAAGTAGATTGCCCAGTCTTCCTCCTGCAGAGTGGCTGATGGGTTTGAATTGCCAGCCTTCTGGTTAGCAGTCAAATGCCTTAGGCACTACGCCACCATTTAGCAGCCATAAAACCAAAAACCATACTCACTGCCATCAAGTCGATTCTGACTCATAGCGACCCTAGAGGACAGACTGCTCCATAGGGTTTCCTAGGCTGTAACCTTTATGGAAGCGGACAGCTACATCATTCTTCCTCAGAGTGGCTGGGAGGTTTGAACTGCTGACCTTTGGGGTAGCAGCAGAACTCTTAACCACTGCATCCCCAAGGCTGCTTTTTGCAACCATAGGACCACTTGAAAAAAAAGAAAGAAAAGAAAAAGAAACAAAGCAGAATCGAGGGCTTTGAACCAATCCATTCTGGTTCTTTGTATACTAAGATCTTGTTAAAACATAGATTCTGATTCAGTATATCTGGGGTGGAAATGCCAATTCTCAACAGGGGTTGAACCAGAATGAACTGGTTTGAAGCCCTGGTGGAATCTTAACATACAAGCCCGGTAACAGTGGGGTTGCTCTAGCCGGAACTGGGAAGGGACACCATGTCTCCATGGAGATCACTGACCACTTGCTCCAGTGAAGTTCGAGAACCACTACCTGAGATGCTGTGGAGACAGAGGAAGGAGAAAGCTTTGTCTTTATGGTCCACAGCTTCATCCCAACGGCACCCACATGTTCATGAGTGTCCCTGTGCTGGGCAACAGGGGATGAGCATGGGGTGGGGGCAGGAGCCAGCAGTGGCGGCTTACCTCTGGGTAGGACCACTCTGGCGAGTAGTCAGTCACCATGAACACCCGTCCACTCTGCTGCAGCATCCCCAGGGTGCTCTGGGCAGAGGCGGCCGAGACCACCTCAGCGACATGCATGTAGGCCATGGTACCGGCCCCGCCCTCAGCACTGCTGAGCTGCAGTCCACCCTGCTGGGGGCTGCAACAAGGGATGCACATCTCGGCCTGGGTGAAGGGCGCACGGGCCCCGTCCTCCACCTGCGAGAGTGCCCCGCTGTCCCCCGGCACCAGCTGGTGCCCGTAGATGGTGCCGCTGCCCCCCTCCACAGAGATGAAGTCATTGATCAGGTCGGAGAACTGGTTGCTAAAGGAGATGTCGAAGTGGTCCAGACTGAGCTCCATGTTGGAGGCATTGCCCAGGCTGGGCTGGGCCACAGGGTAGAGGCCTTGCACCACGTTGCCCGGGAGGATGGGCACACCACTGGCGCTCCGGATTACCCCGTTGCTCTCAGGCTGCAGGTAGTGCTCAGAGCTACAGGCCTGCAGCTCCCCAGACTTGAGGAGGACCTCGCCGCCCTCGGCTGCCTGCGAGGTCTCCATGGTGACCTCCCCCTCTGCCGTCATGGCCTGGAAATTGGCCTGGAACTGCATGAGGTGGAGGGAGGAGGTGGACTCTATTCTTGTCTCCACATGGCCGCTGCAAGAGCTGGTCTGGGATGAGGCCTCCGTCTTCACCGTGGGCATCACAAAGGTACCCCCAGAGTCACCCAAGCTGCTGTGGGCATTCTGCTCCAGGGGGAGGGGCTTGCTGGCATCCTGCAGGAAGAAGCTCGGGGAGGGGGTCTGGTGGACGTGGGGGCTGTGGCCTGTCTGACTGAAGCTGGACGTGTAGTCCTTGTTGGAGTCTATGGCACTGAAGTCCATCTGCTCCAGGGTAGTGCTGGGGCTGAGGCCGCCGCCCGAGGGCAGCAAGCTGGAGCCAGCGGTCAGCGTGAGGGAGCTGGAGGCGGTGGCTGCAGCGGAGGAGGAGTACGCTTCCTTGGCCATCTGCTGCTCGAAGGAGGTGTCCTCGGTCTTGATTTCCTTGGTCAGGACGGTGGTGAAGCTGAAGCTCCTCTCCACAGGTGGAGAGTGCCGGATGTTGGTGCTGACCATCTCAGCCTTCAGGCCTCCGCCCCCATACGTCTGACCCTGCTTTGGGTTGTTAAGGAAACAGTCGGGGTCAAAGTTCATGGTGGTTTCTGGAATCTTCCGGCCACCATCGAGGGTGGTAGAGAGGACCAGTTCTTCGGACACATTGGTGGGCAGCATTGACAGGCTTTCAGAGCTGCCCGTGGTGGGGAAAGCAAACTTGTGGCCATCAGAACTCACAGCCAGGACCAGGCCCTGAGAGCCGTCGGGTGAGAGGAGGTGGTGGTTGGGGCCGGCGGTGGGGGACATGGTGTACACGGCCTCGTTGGTGACCTCCGACATGAACACTGTGGCGCTCTGGGACAGGCTCCCCATCACGGAGGCCACCGCCATGCTGGAGACACCGGTGACCACGGGGCTGTCCACCATGTCTGGGTCACTGTTGAGCCCACTGCTGATGGACACAGGGGAGCTCTGGGTGGTGTCGGGGACCTCCACCTGGTTGGTGGAGGACACCTCGGTGCTGTTCTGGTGCAGCAGCACAGGCTTGGCCACCTTGCCATTGCGCTTCTCACGGCTCGAGCCCTTGCTGTGGCTGTGTTCGTGCTTGCCCTCGGACACGTCATTGTGCTGCACCTCTGCATGGCTCCCGTACCCCCCAGTCCGTGGCTCCACCTTGGGTGAGATGATGCGGTGTTTGGCACTGTTACACTTGTGGTGCACGCTGCTGCCTGCTCCTGTGGAGATCAGAAGCGCACACACACACACACACACGTACACACGTGCACACACATGCATGCACACATGCGCACACATAAAGAGAGTATCAGAGCTGAGACCACAGTGGACTTTTGACTGAGCAGCTGGGCCCTGGTCAAAGCCCAAGCCTGGGAGCTGGGACAGACCACAGATCCCGTGGGGCTGGTCTTTAACAGAGACTCGGGTCTCTGGCCCGCCTACACCAAGCCCTGGGGCTCTCACACCTTCTGTGACCATCCTTCAAAGGCCAGAGCAACTTTATTCTTGATGTTCTTTTCAAAGAATACTAAAAGTGACACCCCAGCATGTAGGAAGCCCAGAAAGAGAAGTGGCGAGAAGTCACCTTCCAGGAAAGTCCCCTCCGCCATCAGAGACATAATCTTCCACCCGGAATGGGTCTGCTGGCCAGAGGGGCTCAGCTTTCTGTGTGTCCACAGACCCAGGCAGGTATTCAGGCCCCTCCCTACCCCTGAAACCGTCCAGCCTGTTCAGGCCATGCAAAGTCTCAAGAAGTCCTTCTCCTTCAGGGGACTCCAAAAAAAAAAAAAAAAAAAGCGGCTGGTGGGTTTGAACCGCCAGCCTTTTGTTTAGCAGTCAATCCCTTGAGACTGGACACCAGAAGTTCAAGGAGAAGGTGAAGGACAAGGTGTTCTCTCTGGACTAGCTCTCAGGCCCCAGACCAGAGAAGTTCTGGATGCAGGAGAGGCTCTGCCCAGTGCTAGGATGAAAAGGTATTGGGGGCCAGGCTAGCCACCTCTGGCTAGCCTGGGGCTGTGCTCAACTCTCAGGGGCAAAATCCTTCCAGGTCCTATGCAAGGCTAGAGCCTTCTCCAGTTCCAGGTGTGAGGTGCTGAGCCTCTCAGAGCAATGGCAAGTTTGCTTGGAGCCCTTCCCCCAGGTCTCTGTACCCAGCACCAGGCAGCTTTTCTTTCCTGAGGCCCTGTCATTATTTTCATTCCATCAGATAAGGGTCACTTCGCTTTTGATAAAAGGATGAATTCTCCCCTGATCCCGCTACTGCCTTGCCACCAAGATTCCTGAATTCATGAAGACTTGGCAGAGAAGTGACACGACCCTCTAATGGAAATATCTAATTAAAGTGGTGGAGAGAGCAGGCCCATATCTCAAAGAGCAAATACCATTATCAGAAAAACAGACACGTTAGGATGGAGTAGGGGAGACTTTGCATTCCTGGAGGAGACAGAGGTTAAAGCAGAGGTTGAGCGTGAGTGGTCCAATTGACTCAGAGCCTATCTCCCCGGCAAGCCCAGGCAGCCCTGTGCTGGATGCCTGGGAACGGGGGCCCGGGAGGGCATCAGCATTGAGTGGACATAGGCCCAGAGCCCCAGCCATCTGCATTTCCTCCATCTGTTGCCCTTGCCCCATTCCTAGAGAGAGCTGCTTGCCTGGAAAACTTTCCCTCTGCCAAAGTGAGCAGCCCGCCGGCTCAGGAGCAGGACCTGGGGGAAGGGCCTGCTTTGTGTCTGCCTAGGGTGCTATGGTGTCCCTCCATCCTTGGCTGACTCCCTCCCCTCACTGGACATGCTGGCTGCCCACCCAGCCCCCGCCACAGCCCTGCTTACCCAGGCTGCCGGTGCAGAGGCAGTTGTGGGTCCGGGGCTGGGGTTTGGTCTGGTGGCTGTCGAGGATCTGCTGCACCAGCTGCTCCACCGAGAAGCCTGAGCTGCTGTTCCCGTTGCTGCAGGTCCACTTGATGCCGTGAACTGTGGAGAGAGGCAGGGCGCTGTCAGGGGGCTGGTGAGGCAAGGGCCTGAGCAGTGGGGAGGGGCAATATGGCCCCAGAGCACAGCCTGATGAGCACGAGGAGGGCAAGGAGGGGCAGGGATACCCCAGGGGTCACTGGACTCCATGCCGCCCAGGGACCTCCAATGCCTTTCTCACCCTCCTCTCTTCTTTTCCCTGTGGGTGAGTGCACCTGGAGGCGGAATGGGACTGCTTACGGTTTTGTTTTTGTTTTCCCAAAGTCCAAGTGCACATGGGTGGCTTTCCACAGTCCTGGGGTGGAGGTGAAAGGGAATGAGGGCTCGGAAGGAGACTTGGGGAGGGTGCTGGGGGACCCCCAGACTGCATGTAGGGAGGAGCTTTAGGTCTGTGGGTTCTGCTCCCAGGAGTGTATGAGAGGAGCCCACCCTAGAGGGATGCTTCAGCTTCCTGCCTCACTGAAGTAGTAGGTAAGGTTATGTGTCAGCTTGTCTGGGCCTGGTTTTGAGTGGCTGGGCAGCTGGATGTTGTGATTCTCCATGATAAGACGAGTAATCAATTCCATGGGTGGAATCTGCTGTGAGCAGCTAAATAGTTGCTAAAGGGATATGGTCTGCTTCCAGTATATAGGAAGACACTTTGAGAAAGGTCTCTGAGCTTTCTGGCACTTCTGGATCCTGCATTTGGCCAAGTCTTCATCTCAATGGCCTGCCATGTTGTCTGCCGATCTTGGGCCTGTTAATGGACTTGAATTAGTGGCCTTCCACGTTGCTTAATACTTTTGGGACTGTGCCATTTTACTTGTTGACCTTCTGTTTGTCAGCCTCAGCAGCAGCAGCTGGTTAAGAGATGCCTCCAGCTTCAGTGGGCTGGGAGCAAGGGGCAGAGCTGAAGCCCAAGATCGAGGGAGCCTTCACTCAGCCCCTAGCTGGCACTTTGAACTTGGACTTCTAGCCTCCCAAACTGTAAGAGAATAAATCCCTATTTGTTAAAGCCATCCACTTGTGTTATTTTCTGTTAGAGCGGCACTAGACCACCAAAGACTTCTGTACCCCAAAGGGGTTGCAGGATAGGCGAGAGAGAAAGGACAGGACTGAAGGGCCTGCATAGCCCACACAGGGGTGCCTCAGAGACCAGGAGTGACAGATGACCCCCACCCTGAACAGCTGTCCTGGGGTTTCATCTCAACCCTAGAGCCTGGGACCCCTGCAGTCCCTGGAATTGGAGTGGGGGCCAAGCATGACTGAGGTAGGCTGCTCACCTGCTTGGCAGGAAGGGGCTGCAAGTCTAAAATGAATGGCTGTGCCCAGCAGAATGTGACCTGAGTTTCATGCCCACTCTGTGTCCTCCTTTCCCAGTAGGCTTGGCCTGGAGGAGGCTGAGCCTGGGCAGTAAGCCCTGGCCCAGGGCATGGCCCAGCTCTCCCTTGTGGCTCTGGTGGGGCCAGGTCCCAGAGGACCTGGGGCTGGAGCTGGTGGCTGGGGCTCCAGGAGGGCTTCCGGGCTGCTGTGTACAGGGGAAGAAGGAAGCCAGGAGCAGGGTCTCAGGGTCACTGGAGGGAGAGGTCAGTGACTTTGCCAACTCAGGAATAACGCCCTTCTCCTGTGGCTGGCCCCTTCTCTCCCACAGATCCTGGAAAGCCCTGTTACAACCCAAGGCCCCCTGCTCTGTGAGGGGATCCAAAGAGACAGAGTGGATGGAGAGATAGTCAAGCACAGTGGGCAGGGGCCGGAGTTGGAGTTACAGCATCAGCAGAACCTGAAGCAAGGCTGGCACTGCACACTGTTTGTCACCATCACATTGTCACTACTCATGGCTATGACAATGCCACTCTTTGCTGAGCATACCCAAAGCACTCGGAACACCCACCATACTTCCTCCTGACCATGCTGGGAGGCAAGCTATTATCCCCATTTCACAGATGAGAAAACTGAGGTCCAGAAAAGTGAGCTGCCCAATTCACACAGCAAGTACAGATTAGACTGGACTCAACCCAGATGTGGGGAATCTTCTTGCTATAAAATCCATGGCAGCTCAGGAGCGCAGGGGTGGATCTCCACGTGGCCACTGGCCACATACCTCTGCTCCTTGTCAGCACCTTTCTTTAGAATGTCAGTGGTTTTTCACTGAGAGTGCTGCCATCCTTCTCTGTGTGTATGTGCACCTGCCCAGGTGTTAGCTCACCATCCCTACCCTCTGCCCCATCTGCTGAGGCTGTTCTGGAGGTCCTTGGACCCTGCCACCTCCCCAGTGAGCCTGGCATCAGGGTGACAGCTGCCCTGACCTTGCTGATGTGCTGTACATGTAGAGTGAGACCAGGTTCACAGCCTCCTTTCCACAGGTGGGCAGTGCCTCTATCCTGGGCTCCCTCTGGAATTCTCCATCAGCTCCAGAAGGCTGCATCCTGCTGACTTAGGCCCCACCTGAGTTGACTGTCCTCTCTGAGCACCTTGTCCTCGGACTATGGCAGCTTAAAAAGAAGGCCCAGGCCAGGGCTCTTCACACCTCACAATAGCCATGGAGCCCTTTTTTCAAATAAACTTCTACCTAGAAACCCAATATACCAGTTGCTATCGAGTTGACACCAATTCATGTTGAACCTGTGTATGGCAGAGTTGAAGTGTGCTCTGTAGGGTTTTCAAAGGCTGGTTTATCTGAATAGATTGCCAGGCCTTCTTTCCAAAGCACCTCTGGGTAGACTCAAATTTCCAGCCTTTTGGTCAGCAGCTGAGCATGTTACCTGCATGAACCAGGGACTCCAGAAAGCCAATATGGAGAACAGCAGAAGGGGCTGGGGGGGAGGGGGAGGAGGAGTTGGGACTCCACGCCCTGTCCCAGTGCCCCAAGGCCCTCTTGGGCTGAAGCCCTTCCCTACACTGGTCACTCTACAGATGAGAAAACCGAGGCTCTAGAGGAAAGAGTCCCCCCATCACCCTGCCCTTCCACAAATGCACACGGTCTGTCCCAGTGGCCCCTACCCTAGCTGTGCCCAGGCCACATGGCAGAGCTGAGTCATGTGGTCTGAGTGGGGCCCAAGTATGTTTCTAAAGCTCCCCAAGGGTTTCTCACATGAGCCGGGATGGAGACAGGTGGACCAGAGTCATCAAGCACCGCACGTCCAGGAGCCAACCAGCTTCAGGGCTTAACACGGGGAACTTGGAGTAGAGACCCACTGCAGAACCAGGCTACACAGCTCTGCCTTTGTTCTCCATGAAAACCTCATGAGTTTTGACCTTGGCTGTCCTGAGAGAGGAGCCGTCCTCAGAGCAGCCACCCCTCCAGCTTCTGGCCTCATGATGCCCCCGTACCCGAGGGTCTGGGGACTTGGGCTGGGGAGGTAGGTTGTTAGTTTCTGTTGAGTCAGTTCTGATTCATGGGGACCCCGCGTGTGCACAGTAGAACTGTGCTCCAGTATCAAGAATGTGACCTTTCGGTAGCAGATTGCCAGACCTATCTTCCAAGGTGCCTCTGGGTAGGTTTGTAGCCCCAAACTTCCGGCTAGTAGTTGAGTGCTTCACTGTTTTTGATACCCAGGGACTGGTGGACTCAAGAATCCCTTGACTGGCAGACACCTCTCTCCAAGTCTCCTGGAGACCGCCTGCTCAGCATTTCTGACCAGGGCCCCTCCCTGCCTGACAATTCAGAGGAGACTCCATCTCTAGTCCCGAAGGGGGTGTGGCAACTGGCTCCTCTGCCTGTTGTTCTCCTCTGTATGTTGTGAAGGTTATAAAATGAAAACCCAGTGAAGGGTGACAGATTGCAAGCAGAGAACTTCGTGATGCTTAATGCAAATTACCTACTGTCTTGACACATCCAATATGCAGATTGTCTCCCTCCCCTCTTTGGTGGTGGTGGTGGTGGGGAGAAAGCCCCCTCCTCCAAGATGGTGAGTTGTTAGTCCTGAATATCAAATACTATCAAGACGGCTTTTAACATGTCATGCTCTGCTTCCAGACACGTAATGAATCAGCGGGAAAGGAGATTTCCACAGGGAAAAGTGCTTTACGAAAGAAGGTTAATATGCACACATGTACCGAGGCACACAGGCATGTGTGACTCCTCCCACTTCGTGAGGGTGGTGGAAGGGAAACTGCTTTAAAAGTGTATTTGATTAAATGTAAGTGCATGGCCCGGCTGGGGGATAACACAGAAAGATAAAAGGGGATTCCTGGGAAAGTTACCTCCTGGGCCACTGTGAAAGTCCCTGGGTGGTGAAAGTGCTTTGCACTCTACTACCCACTTAAAAGGAGCTCTGGTAGCTTAGTGGCTAAGGCACTTGACTGTTAACCAGAAGGCTGGCGGTTCAAACCCACCAGCCACTCCTCAGAAGGAAGGTTGGGCATTCCTACTTCCGTAGTGATACTGCCTCGGAAACCCAAGGAGGGGTCGCTATGAGTCGGGTTTGACTCGACGGCACATAACAACAACAACAACAACAACCCACTTAAAAGGAGCTCTGGTAGCTTAGTGGCTAAGGCACTTGACTGTTAACCAGAAGGCTGGCGGTTCAAACCCACCAGCCACTCCTCAGAAGGAAGGTTGGGCATTCCTACTTCCGTAGTGATACTGCCTCGGAAACCCAAGGAGGGGTCGCTATGAATCGGGGCCGACTCGATGGCAAACAACAACAACAAACTCACTTAAAGGTTGGTGGTTCGAACCCACCCAGTGGTGCCACAGAAGAAAGGCCTGGCAAACTGCTTCTGTAGTGATAACAGCCAAGAAAAGCCTATGGAGCAGTTCTACTCTGTAACACTTGGGGTCATCATGAGCCTGAGCCAACTCAATGGGGTGGCTGTGGGTGACATCTGCCCCCTCTGCCCTCAGAACTTTGGTGCAGGAAAATCCAGCTCCTCATTCCTAGCCAGTGTTGGCCACCATGAGTCTTCCAGCCCAGCCCATGCTGGATCCCAGGCAGAGGGCCCTCCCTTCTGCTCCCCACACACAGCGCCTGGACAGCAGTCTCCCGGCTGCTCAGCCTGTGCAGAGAAACCTGCGTGCC